ACACGGAGTGATTTTTACTTACTTCCTATCAACAGCATGCCGCGAAAATGCATGATGGGTGAGTCCTGTAGGCAGACAGGATACACACGCGCCTGCCCACTCTCACAACAAGCACAACAACACACTCACGCGATGTGTTTGAGTACATACATGTGGGTCCTCGCCATGTGCTTTGTTCATTAAACTGCATGTGCCGCCTGCAGCTGACCCACTACAAAACAAACCACACCTACTACCCACATCCTCACAACCACCACACCTGGTCCTACTACTACCCACACCCTCACGACCACCACACCTACTACCCACACCCTCACGACCACCACACCTACTACCCACACCCTCACGACCACCACACCTACTACCCACACCCTTACGACCACCATAACTAAACACAACTTTATTAGCCTATGGATCACAACACACGCCTCCCTACACGCCCAACACATGCCTCCCTTCCCTACACGCCCAACACGTAAGAAAATAAGGAGTCTGCAATAAGCCGGTTAGCCTGTGCATGGCAGCTCCTGTCGAGAGTTACTACCACTCTCTATCATCCATGAATCTATCAAGCCTCCTTTTAAAACTCTCCAGCGTTCCAGCACTTACTAAAAGTTGCTAAGCTTGTTCCACTCGTCTACCACCCTATTTGTGAGCCAGTTCCTTCCTATCTCCCTCCTAAACCTAAACTTATCCAACTTGAATCCGTTGCTCCGAGTCCTATCCTGCTCGGATATTATAAGAACGTTATCTATATCCCCTTTATTGATTCCTTTCACCCACTTAAATACTTCTATCATATCTCCCAGCACTCTTCGTTTTTCTAAGGAATGCAAGTTTAGTTTCTTTAATCTATCTTGATATGGAAGGTTTCTAAATCCCGGAATCATTTTCGTCATTCTTTGCTGCACCGACTCCAGTGAATTGATATCAGTTCTATAATAAGGGTACCAGAACTGAACAGCATAATCGAGGTGCGGCCTGACTAGTGCAAGATATAGTTGCAATATGACCTCTGTACTGGGGACTCAGTGCGGCTTTGTTTTTACGCGTGGGACGTAGTACATATTTTACCTGTGTTAAGGGGAGGTCTGTTACTGGCCTCACAGTCAGCGCCTGGTTATCAGTATGAATGGTGAATAATAGTGGTGGTGACCCGGTCGTCAGAAGCCCACCAGTACCAGGAGGCAGCGGCTCCAGTCACTTGGGAATGAATAAGTGCCAATGGTAGACGCCGCGGGCACAACCAGCTACTCTCCTCCTTGTGGAAAGTGGCAGCCCAGTAGAGCATGTTGACGGTGAAAGTGGAGGTGGGGAGGAGGGCAGGCAGTACAGGGACGGTAGGTGGGCAGGGCAGGCAGTACGGGGACGGTAGGTGGGCAGGGCAGGCAGTACGGGGACGGTAGGTGGGCAGGGCAGGCAGTACAGGGACGGTAGGTGGGCAGGTACGGTAGGTGGGCAGGGCAGGCAGTACAGGGGGTAGGTGGGCAGGGCAGGCAGTACGGGGACGGTAGGTGGGCAGGGCAGGCAGTACGGGGACGGTAGGTGGGCAGGGCAGGCAGTACAGGGACGGTAGGTAGACTGATGAGTAGGATAATACAGAGGTTGGTAGACTCGTGGTAGGAAGGTAAACAGGTGCGTAGGTAAGCTGCTGGATGGATGGGCAGGTAAGTGGGGTGGCGTGACGCTGAGCCTCGGGTATAATGACAGGTAGAGTAACAAAGGTGGACACAAGCCTCTGCCTCCAGCCTCACGGTGACGACGCTCTCACTGTACCTACCGTGTCTCCCCTTAATGACGCCTCGGTGAACCTTCATCATTATTTCCATTTACTAGTACACAACGCTCACACCTTTCAACAGTGTTTCAGGCTAGGTTTATACCGAGTGTTGTCAGCTATTGTAGTAGTAGTAGAGCCCTGCCAAGTGCAATAGATCCCCCCCCCCACCAGAGTGACAGGTGTGGTGTGGGGGGGGAGGGGGTAACACCTTTAATCACCTCAAATACTTCCCCACACACCAACCTTCTCATTCATCCTCAGCCATCATATCAATATATCTACGACTATTATAACTCAATGGAGTCACCTTCACATGTGTTCTCCAGATTCGTGGAACACCTCAAATTGAAAGAGATTTTTAGAGTTTTGTTATAGGAGAAATTTGGTCAGAGCCTATCACACCGCCACACACAAATAGCCTGGTAATTTCCTCTTGTGATAAAGTATAGCATGAATCTGGTTCTATAAGAGGTGTCTGAGTCACAGTCTGCTTTCTACTCTTAAGATCTATATGTGCCTTTTTTTCAGGCGGGTGTGGACAAAGGTGGGCCACTAAGGTAGGGTCGCCACCAGCCATACACCTTCACCCTCCCTCCTACCAATACTACTTCCGTAACCTCTCCTTACTCGAGCACTTCCTTCTCTAGTTCCTGGTCTACCTCTTCCACACAACTCTTTAATGTATTGCTATAATCGTTAAATTGATGGCTCATTAGTATGACTCAGTATTTCAAGGTTCCTCCAGTCTCATTCCCTTTGCAGGTTTTAATGTCAGCTTTGAGCCTCGCCATTTTCACATGGCCACAATATGCATAATAACAGTGAGAGAGGTTAAGACAATCGACTCCCTCACATTACCACTGTTACAATGGTCTGCCTCACGCACTACGTCATCCCTGGGCCAGTCATCCACCACGTTATAATTATTTCGTGTCTGTCCCCGTGTACAAGGAACAATACATCTATTAGAGCACAAAATAAAAATAAAAACCCGTGTAATGTGATATACGGCATGTTAGGATGGCCGCCATCCTAGCACTGTCTGGCTAGTTTGAACATATTTCTACTTCATGGCTATGTAAAAAGCACTGCTGGAGATTTTCACAAGTATGGAATTCGTCAAACGTAGACACACCGTGATAGGTCAATTTTCACATGTACAATCAAAGACAAAAGTCGTGTCACGGTTTTGTCCGAAGATTAAATATAACTCGTGAAACATTATGAGAGCCCCCCACCACAAGGCAGAGTGCACAAAAGTTTAGCCCTTCGGCATAGGTTTTCACCAAATTTCACGACACGACTTTTGTCTTTCATTGTACACACAATAAAAAAATTATCTTTACAATTTTGTGTTAAACAATAAGACACAACGGACGAGGGATTTTGGCAACCCTGCCGAGACAACAGGAATCACAGTGTTCATTTTAGAACTTGTCGGACCTCTGGATGTTTCAATAACAGGTCCCCCCCATCTCTCTTGGATCAAACAACCCGATATGATGATCACCCTGCATAAATGTGGCCTCTCGCTCCCCACCACCAATAAGAGAGTACTAATCATGCTGTGTAAACTACCCTGAATACTCGTGGTTAGTGTCATGTCCGGGATCACTGTAACACCATGAAACAGCGAGACTATCGGACCCTGCATCAAGACACCCCAACGGCTCCCTTTCATATTCCACAATATTTATAAGAGATGCGTCTTAATTACACTGTAATGAAGGATGTTAGGACAGAGCAGTGGTCCAATACGCTTCACATGTGCAGGTGGTCTTAGCTGGGCGTGGCACCTTAATTATCCTTACACCTTCGTCACCTGATCATCTGTGGAAACCTGGTGACGGTGCTGTGTAAATAACGTAGCCAAGGAATGGGCCTCACACTCACAGTTACTCTTAAATGTGAACACAGCGTCATCTTACATCGCTTACAAGTTCATGAATATAAGAAACCAACACCAGCTTCACACTGTTGTTGTACAGTTAATATTGGTCGAGTGTTGTTTAGTGTGTGAGGATGAGATTACTTGTGACTGAAGACACTTGGTGGTCGTTCAGGAGTCTGGCTGTGTTTATCTCTTATACCTGTTGTCTCAAGTTATGAAAGTGGTGTGTGTGTGTGTGTGTGTGTGTGTGTGTGTGTGTGTCGTTTGCTACACAAGACTCATATATATCATAATTTGCGAGTTCTGACAATAATTGTATGTCTTTTCATAACTCCAGAACACAGAACTGACACAAATCATCGAAAACACGATTTACTTGAACATCCTCAAGTGTGCGTGATAAATGGACAGTGAACAGATAGTTTCGAGATGAGAGAGAGAGAGATCTACGTCATTTATTTGCAGTACATAAACCATACACTTCAAGTGATGTGTCATCCATGTGTGAGAGCAGTCACAAATAATGGCGGTTTCACTTACATTACAGACTCGAAGCTTTCTTGAGATAACTTTTGACGTTTGAGTCCAAGTGGTGCTGTCAACCCACTACAAGTATGTCCGAGAATTTCTCTTGTGAATAACTTTGTACTTAACTGACAATGGCATCATTCTATTCCAGTCACTAGTAGAGGGACGTGGGAGACTCGGTGGTTGCTATATCAAAGTCTAAAACATCCTTACGTTAAAATTTTCCAGTAAATGGAGGTGAAAATTTATTTAATTCCATTCACCTCCTGGGGACATAAAGTTACTTAACCACAGTGTCGTATTGTTGGTTCCTTGGGCAGCTGACTCACCATACTGATTTATATTACATCTAAATCCATTTTAGATAAAAAGAAAATGTGGTGTGAAATTATATACCATATCATGCCTTTCAGAAAAAAAAGAACGATTGGCTACGATTCGTCAGTGTGTGTTGCAGGACCCTCTGTAGTCCGAGGTCCTTCAGCAGCAGCACCACCTTGTACCTACCTGACTGTCTTCCTGGTGTAGGACCCACATGGAACAGGACAGTGGCCGCTCTGCCTCATGACTACCGTATCCAGTTCTTTTTCAGCCAGTCAGCACCCCCCCCCCCCGTCCCCACACACACTGACTGATTCCTAATACAGAACTTTACGATAACCTGTACACAAATAAATCTAAAAAGCTTGCGTCAAAATAATATCATCATCAATATCTCACAAATGAAAGTTCCCCGAGTCATTCTAAGTTAGGTGCGAGTCTGACCAACACCCGACAAACTTAAATCAACTTAAGACTCACCTCCATCAACACTGCACCATAAAACGGGTCCACCAAACTCACCTGCAGAGAGAAGAGAGGAACCGTTAGATTGATTGTTGGGGGTAAATTAATGTTGTTAAGACATGCGGTGACTGTTAGGTGTTGTGGGAGCGTGGAGTTGTGTCAGTAGCAAGGCCTGCAGTGTTGACTATGCCCCCCCCTACACTCCCCCTGCGTCATCGCCACCTCCTACGTGTTACTATCATCATCACCCCCCACCCCTCTATACGTCACCACTTCTTCCCCCAACACGTCACCGTCATCACCTCACCACTAATTCCCCCGCTCTATACACGCCCCCATCTCCCCCTACACACCCCTTCAGCATGTCACCTCCCCCCTACACTAAATAATGAACACATCTAGATTCTTCGCCCTATTTAAATCACTCTTTTGAATCTGTCGTCTTAGATCTGTTTCCAAGAACGAACACTCGACGCTGTCCCAGATAAGTCATGGTTACCCCACAACCACTGCCATTAACTGCCATGATTGTACGTTTTTGGGTCGTCTTCCCCCCCTGGAGGGTCATCATCCACACACACACACACCGTATACCTCGTTAACTACCATCACTTCGAGTCTTGACCTCCTCCAAGTGTGTAGACTGTGTAGAGGACTGTAGACTGTAGAGAACTGTAGACTGTAGAGGACTGTAGACTGTGTAGAGGACTGTAGACTGTGTAGAGGAACAGGTAAGACAAGCAGGAGCGTCATCACCAGCGGGTAAAAAACATGCAGGTCGCCTTGACGCTCCAGTGTGGCACAATCATCAGCCCCAAGGAGAGGTTCTTTTTGTCTACTTATAAACAACACACTGTACACTGTTACTGTGGCCGACCCTACCAAGTACTGTCCCTTACGGCTCGCGCCATTTTGAGTTTTTACTGTTACCTCCAATTATTACCAAAACCTAATCTCTTGTTCCCAAGATATTACCCAGAGACACTGCACAATGTCACCATTTTTTTTTAATTTAATTTTTGGTATTTAAAAATATACATAACAAACATACAGTATATACAGTACACCATACATGAAAAAATATAAAACATACATACAGTATTTTTACGCATATACTGAACAAATCGCAAAAGCCACTGATTCGGCTGTAGTTTAACAGTGAACCACCAGTGACGGATCACAGTAAGCCCAAGAAAGTCACTGACTCACTAGGTTAACACAGGCCTGGGGTGCCACCGCCAGGGATAATGACAGGCGGCGCTGTGTGAGCTGGAGCGTGGCCACAACACCTCCAGGCAATAACCTTCCTCCTCCTCTTCCTTATTTACTAAGCTGATGTATGACTATTAGACTGTAGTGTTGGTTATGGCGTATAGGATGGCATAGGTATGCTGGTATTGCTGATTTAAGATAACGTTTGTATTGCTTAAAGGTTGCTGGTGCTGGTGCCCTGTAGCTCAAGTCTGTGCCACTGGTGACCTACAGGCAGGTTAGTTAACGTGTAATTTCTAACCTCCTACAATTATAAGTTTTTGTTGATATTATTTAAATTAAATGTGTGTTGGCAGTTGTTTCCCCCTGCGTGTGTGATGACGGTGACCTAGAGCTGTTGTTGGCGTGTATGGGTACAATTACCTCACCCACAACAATCGAACAATGCCACTTGAAGTCTAGTAATTCACCATTTATCTGTGGTTGTGGACAATTTGTTGTAACTCATACGCTTCTTATGTTAAGACGGAAGCCCATTACTGTTACCACTCTTAAAATATTTATCTGATAGACCAGACCTGATTGGTAGGCCAGCTGATAAACGAACCAATGAGAGTCAGCAGTGTGTCGTCCCTTCTCCTGACAACGGGGATATGGTCAGGCAGTTGGTCAATATCAACTCCCATCTATACAGTACAGTATGTATCGATATTCAGATTATATTTTCAGGCATGATACAGAATTAAACATAAGGCATTGTCAAGTAAGAACATTGCTGAATATTAATTATTTTAAGCATATATTCACGTTTAGATCAAACTAATTAGTGTTGTATAAAAGAGGTTCTTGAGTCATGGCCTAGAAAGAGTATGGTCGGAAGCGGGTGTGGGCCTCGACAACAGCTGGTCAAGAGGACGTGTTCACCCAACCATGTATGTTATTATCCAGCCGACTATGATCATTTCACTGTTACTTGTCTTTTGTCACAACTGTATCACTCCTTTCACGAAAAAACTGAGTTAAACAATTAAGATTAAACTAAAGTTTGCCCCAAAATATTAGTATGACAACATTAACTAAAAAACATGGAACTAAACAAGGTTAGTGCCTGTGTTGGCACCTCTGGCGAGGGGTGTCAGGGATAGTGAACTTTAAACTGTAGAAGCACCTTGATAGTGGTGGTCGAGTGTCAGGCAGGACGCACCTGACGAAGCTGAGGGATATTGGTATACCAAAGGACACGCCAGTACACACAATACATCTGATGAGTCACCGCCGTACTATGTTTGGTACAGCACACTGGCACAGTCTCCATCGCTTCTCATAACTTCTAGGTAGTTTCACCAACAAGAGAAGAAGTGTAATTAATTGTGTGTGATAAGAACTGCTGTCAGTAATACTAACCGTTAATGAACAAAAAAATAAACATTTCAATGATGATAGACTGGTCACAGATACGTGGGGTACATTTATTGAAATGATCAACTTAAAACATGATGTGTTAATTTGTGAGCAACTCTCCCTCACCATGATTGTGACATAAGCATTTAACGTGTCTTGAGGTACAGTATCATATATACTCACAAACCTGAGCACAGTAAACAAGGACGCACTAGTACCACAGGATCATTCATGGTGTTTGGGTTTAATACGCAGCAAAGCACTACCACTGTCCGCATGGCAAGGTCACAGTCGCTCTGAACAGCTCTGTCCTGTGTTAGAATTTGTGGTATTGATGGCGTCTGCAGAGGCCAGACATCGGGAAGTTGTTCCATAATTCATCCTCCGAACACCATTAAACTTAACCAGCCAACACATCACAACTATAGGACACGACAAGTTTTAAAGCCCTTATCACTCCTGCGCATTTGTATTATCTTGAATTATTAAAGAAGCATTTAATTCGTTTCGTTAATTGTTCGGATCACCTAAATAACCGTCACCCCAGAGCGTATTAGGGTGCCGATTCTTCGGGTGGACACTCAGGGGTGACGCTGGGAGTGGACTGACCCTGAAGAGTGGTCCCCCTGAATTACGTCGTCCGTGGCTCAGGTGTCCTAATGGAACTCCGTATCGACTGCCTAGTGCGTGTAGGATGCTGGACGGACAATCGGGCCACGACCACCGGACGTTTGGGCCATGGGTTAAAATAATCATAAGAAATACAAAATCGATTAAATTCAATATATTTTATTTAAACATTTGGTTGTCCTCGACGAAGACTGTGGCTTATCCCATGGAGTAACTCTGAAAGGGTTTTTCTGTTGTGTTTAACCCAAGCAGGTGAGTGGACCATCAGACTGTGTGACTTTGGAAATGTCATGTGCAAGTCTGGTGGAGGAACAGACGGCAGACAGCTGAACTAACCTAAAGAAGAATCAAATATCTATGAGGAAAAATACCAGAAGTATAAAACAATTCGTGATACACAGAAGACGAAACACACGCACACCCAAACAAGCACTGCGGGGCGACACAAGACCTAAAGAGAAGGTGTGAGAGCCCGTGGAAGAGCTGAAGTTCACGGTCGACATGTGGTGCAGGAAGGCGTTAACTTTACTGCCTCGTCATATTAGTCATTCTTTCCCTCTTGAAAGTGGTCGCCCGCTCCCATTATATACCAACGTAATATTTCTTATTTGTTTTCCACGGAGGAACTGGGATTTGTGTACGAGAGGGACGGAGAGACGGTTCAGACGATTGATTAATGGTCACAGGAGTTGCTATTGTCGTGGTGTTCCTGTCATTACTGCTGCCATTACTGTTTCTACCGGCCGCTGTCACTGCTCGTTTCTGTTTATTGCCGTTGCTTCTGTCACTGCTACTTGCACGCATTAATGTGAGTTTTTTCCCTAGAGCATATATTAAGACGGATGATCCTTTAACCTGTCCTAGTTATATTTCATTTTTTTAAAGAACATAAGAAAATAAGGAGTCCGCAATGGGCCGGTTGGCCTGTGCATGGCAGCTCCTGTCGAGAGTTACAACCACTCTCTATCGACCATGAATCTATCTAGCCTCCCTTTAAAACTTTCCAGCATCCCAGCGCTTACTAAAAAGTTTTTAAGCTTGTTCCACTCGTCTACCACCCTATTTGTGAACCAGTTCATTCTTATCTCCCTCCTAAACCAAAACTTATCCAACTTAAATCCGTTGCTACGAGCGCTATCCTGCTCGGATATTATAAGAACTTTATCTATATCTCCTTTATTGATTCCTTTCACCCACTTAAATAATTTTATCATACCTCCCCACATTCTTCATCTTTCTAGGAATGCAAGTTTAGTTTCTTTAACCTATCTTGATATGGAAGGTTTCTAAGTCCCGGAATCATTTTCGGCATTCTTCGCTGCACCGACTCCAGTGAATTGATAGCCATTCTATAATAAGGGCACCAGAACTGAACCGCATAATCGAGGTGCGGCCTGACTAGCACAAGATATAGTTGCAATATGACCTCCACACTGATTCGTATCCCAGCCCCCCACTACACAGCGTACAGTTTAAATGCAAGTAAACACGCCAGGTTTCGCTTCTATTGTCTTAAACATTCCACCATCTTCCCTGTGGCGACACAATAGCCCCGTGTCATGATAGATACTATTACTTCCAGATCCTTCACATTTCCTTTACTTCCGATGATATATTACAGTGTCATGTACTCGGTTCCTGCTTTATTTACTCCGTTTCTTCCCCAGGAGGAACTTCAGTAGGACTCCTGTACTACCTGCCTGTCTGAGTTGTGTCACTGTCAGGCTTGGCGCACCGGGTGTTGTGAAGGTGGGTCTCACTCACAGCCAACCATCATACCATACGCCTGTGGCAGGGCTGCAGTTTCCTCAATA